GCCGAGCGCGGCGTCGGCGGCGGAGACCTCCATGGACGACGCGACGTCGACGCCGTCGCGCGTGAAGATCGGGTCCTTCTTGACGTCGAGGAAGATGTAGAGGTCGCCCGCGGCGCCGCCGCGGGGCCCCGCGTCGCCCTCGCCCGCGACGCGGAGCCGGTTGCCCGCGTCGACGCCGCAGGGGATGGTCACGCTCACCTGCTTGGCCTTGCGCTCGACGCCCTGGCCGTTGCACTTGGCGCAGTAGGCCTCGACGGACTGGCCCGTGCCCTGGCACGTCGGGCACGCGGACTGCGTCTGGAAGTTGCCCAGCGGCGTCCGCGTGACCTGCATGACGACGCCCGACCCGCGGCAGGTGTCGCAGGTCGTCACCTTGGCGCCCGGCTCGATGCCGTCGCCCTTGCACTTGCCGCAGGACTCCAAGTGCGTGATGCGAACCTTCTCCTGGCCGCCGAAGCACGCCGTCTTGAAGTCGAGCTCGAGGTCCGCGCGCAGGTCGTCGCCCTGCGCCGGGCCCCGCGTCCGCTGGGCCCGCCCGAAGCCGCCGCCGCCGCCGCCGAAGGGCGACCCGCCGACGCCGCCGCCGCCGAAGAACGAGTCGAAGATGTCCTCGAGGTTCACCTCGACGCCGCCGCCCGGGCCGCCGCCGCCGCCGCCCAAACCCGCCTCGCCGAACTGGTCGTAGCGCGCCTTCTTGTCCGGGTCGCTCAGCACGCTGTAGGCCTGGGAGATCTCCTTGTAGACGTCCGCCGCGTCGGGCTCCGAGTTGACGTCCGGGTGGTACTTCCGCGCGGCTTCCCGGAAGCCGCGCTTGATGGTCCGCGCGTCGCTGCCCCGGGGCACGCCCAGCACCTCGTAGAGGTCGCGGCCCATCTCGAGCGGCAGCGCGCTCGGCCGGCGGTGCCCGGTGCGCGGGAACGTCGGCGGCGGGCGGAAGGGGTGGGCGAGGGGCAGGAAAAACAGGCTCACCAGCGCGGCGGCGGCGGCGACGCCGCGCCGCGCCGCTTGTCTCTCCGTGGCGGGCATGGTGCTGTCGCGTCCGCGGTCTCGGCGACTTGACGCAGTCGTCCTGCGACCACCTCGGTGCAAGCAATGCGCGATCGCTCAGAGGCCGATCGACGCCCGAGTGTTGAGTGCTTCGTCGACTTGTTGCAAAGGTAGGGGCCCCTAGGCAACGCGCGGTCTGGGCGTCTTTCGCTAAGTCCCCGGGCAGTCTCCGCCAGGTCCTCCGGCGTCTCCGGCGCGTCTCGGAAGTCGCGTCTTGGCCGCGTCTGGGGCGTCTCGGCCGCGTCTGGCGGCGTCTGGCCGGCGTCTGGGCCGGCGTCCCGCGTCTGGGCTGCGTCTCTCGCGCGTCTCTCGCGTCCCGCGGGTCTGGCTTCGGTCCCGGGGTCGTCTTTCGTGGTCGTGGGTTCGGTCCTGGGGTGGTCTCTGGCGTCTTTTTTTTCGCGTCCCGGCCGCGTCCCGCGTCTCCGGCGCGTCTCGGCCGCGTCCCGGGGCGTCTTGGCCGCGTCCTGCCGCGTCCCGGAACTCGCGTCTCCCGCGTCTCGGCCGCGTCTGCAAGACGCAACGTTGCCTAGGGGCCCCTAAAGGTCAGCGGCGAC